GCGTGCACGTACGTGCTTCAAGAGACTAGCGCGAAATATACGTTGAATATTTACTGGTTGCTAAGGGACAGAGAAAGAAAGTAATTTAACAATAAAAATAAATCCAATAATGAATATTTTTACATATGTATATTAATATAATCATATATTATACATATTACTCATTGCGTTAATAATTAGTGGGTCATAGTTCCTTTAGTCAACTTTTTGAGCTTGTTTATATCTTAGTTTCATCAATAAAATACTCATTCAAACGTGTCAGTGTATTTGTGATGTCATCTTATTTGAAATGTTTCCTAGCCATACCTATAGCCACAAATACAAAACTTCAACTGTCATGATGCTTTGAGTATTGGGAGAGTATACTTTACGCGATTTTTAACGATAATTTGAGACAACAGAATTGCTCTGAACATTATGACATTCTGAATCAAGGACAAATCATGTTAACTACACTGGAAGATGCTATGAAAAATGTTGGTTTCTCATTACGTGTGTACCATAGGCTGGTGCAAGTGTTAATAACATAATACAGGTTGTGAATAACGCAAAATCGGGCCCACTCAATGAGACCCTTGTGATGAAACACGACACCATTCATTAGTAATATATGTATCATGAACCACGATGGTGATTCATAATAAGGATTGCCCAGGATTTCAGAACAATTCTATTAGAACATACGGGCAAAAACCATCTTAAAAAAACAGACTTGTTCTTGAAACAGCACTCAATACCTATCTCAATGGCTAAGGCTGATACCATATTGATAATAGCAAAAAAAAGTTGACTTTCCGATTGTTACACAAAATTCATCCATTTGTTCTTCATATTAATATTAGTATTCATATTATTCTTGTTTCACAAGCCCACAGAAAAAACCGCTATGAATACTTTATTCAAACCTGGGCAAACCTACTGAAAAGGACTCCTGCACAGGTCATAGGACTATTTTTATGTTGATTCTTGAAAGAGAAGGAAAGAGTTTATCAGTTTTTTTCATCGCTATTGGCCAAGTTTCTTTTCGAAGACATTCAAGTACCGAAGTTTACAGCAAAAACGGTTAGGTATACTGTGCCAAAATCTATGCATATCTACTAAACAAACCCCTGCAAAGGTTGTAGGGCTATTTTAAAGTTGACTCTTGAAAATCAAGATTTCCGCCCTCTAAAATTTTTTAAGTTCTTCTTTTCTACCAACATGAGCTCATCGAGGCCATTCAAGTATAGCAGAAATGTAAAAAAACAAAAAAACATTTAAGCATTTTATACTAATTGGAAACACTTTGTTTTATTAGATTAAACAATGTGTATATTTATAACAGTGTCTCCAGCTTTATTATTATTTATTATAGTTTTACAAGCTGCTACATAAAAAAACGGCTACGAATATTTTACTGAAACCTGGACAGTAGTAATGAATGCAGTACTGAGTATGTCATAGGGTAGCTTTAAAATTAATTCAAGTGCCTTCGTTTTTGTTTTTTTTGCCTGAAGAATTTCTCTAAGTCTTTCACTCTCTGCCATTGAAAAAGTCTGGTGTTTTACTAACGTGCATTAATTGGAAAATATTTTGTCACGTTGAGGATTCATCATTTCTCGAGTTCACTGTTGTAATTTGCTTCTACATAGTTTTTTGCAAATATTTCAGTGAGTTTTCTAACAGTAGGCGAATCCCATTGTATATTTCTCTACTCTTTTGAATGGTGTTTTATTAG